GGATTGTTGGGCCATACTTTTTTTATAAAACGGCCCCTACAGTCACTCTCATCTAAGAACATTATGTAAACATGCTCCGAAACTTTTTGGAACCAAAACTGCAGCAGTTACGAGTAACAGGAAACGGATTTGGTTCAAACAAGATGGTGCTACAGCACATACGGCCAATGACTCGATGAGGGTTTTGAAACAGATGTTCCCCCACCACGTCATCTCGCGTTTTGGTGACATCCACTGGCCTGCTAGATAACCTGACCTCTCAGCTTGTGATTTTTTTTCTTTGGGTATATTTAAAATCCAAAGTCTATGTTCACAACCCCCGATACTTAAACGATCTGAAAGAGGCAATCTGTGCGGAAATAAGGGTAATTGGTCAAGAAACAGTAGGAAAAGTGATGGAAAATTTTGAGAAAAGACTTCATGAGTGTATCTACGAGGAAGGGCACCATTTCCCCGAAGTTATTTTTTGTACATAAATGTTTATGGTTTGATTGACTTTTGCTTAGTGGCAACTTTGTAACCTACAAGGTTATTTTTTGTAATAGGGTATTTGAAAGTGTCCAGAAACGTATGTCAGTAAAATTTTTGTGTAAAATCATTTCACATGGGAAAATGCGTTATATTCATTTCAAAACCGACCATCCTTTTTGCGCCACCCTGTTTGAGGTTACATAATTAACACGTTCGCTACTGAGCGTCGCATATATGCGACGCCGCGGTCATTGCCACAGACCAAGTGATACGTTTGAATCTTACACATAGACCGGCTGTCACTTGGATAACAGTACACACAGACCACGGGCGAAAACCTGTAAAACAGTGATCATTTACATTGTAATACGCTACAATCGTGTTTGTAAAGAATTTATTCTTTTATTGTATTTTTTATAACCTTTTGTAATGTCGCATATTTGCGACGCCTGGTCTACAGCGAAGACAATAGTGAAAATTATCATAGTATTCTTGAAATAGACTAAACGTCGCATATATGCGACAGTTCATTTTTTTGTGTTTTGAAGTGAAAGTAAGTAAAAAAAAAACAGATTATTTAAGAACAGTTTATAACTGAACAAATATAAAAGCTACATAGAATAATGCAGCATGCATAATGCATACATACATACAGTGATGCAGAAAAGTAAAGACCAGTTTTTCCAACTATTATATGACGTCACTAATCATCATATCCACAGACCAAGCGACGCAGTTGTGCGTCAGACATCTCTGTAGACCACTGCAGGGAATTCAGTGCCTTCAAATAGACCACTACAAACATATAAGCATTTTAATAACATTAGAACCCCGACGCAAATATGCGACGGCAGTCTATTTTAATGTCACTACTAGCCGACGCATATATGCGACGGCAGTCTATGGGTGGAAACCGGCCGTCGCATATGTGCGTCGCTGGTCCATGTGAATGGAAAATTTCGTACAATTGCAGTAGCGAACGTGTTAATAGTTTATTGTGACAGACTAATAACGTTTGTGTTGAGACACAACACTTTTAATTAGGTGCAGTAGTGATGGTCAGAAAATCTTGAATGCTGAAATGAATAGACTAGCCAGAATATAAAATGGCATGCTCTTATCGGCTCAAAATGTAAATATACTTACTGTATTAACTATTTCAGTCCCTGTATGGTTTTGCTAATAAATTGGTTCTATTAATGTTATTCACCTATTTTATGATCCAAGTAAAAAAATGGATCCCTCTATAATATCTCTCTAATAGGGATTTCCTTATGTACATAGTTCCAAACTATATAAGACCAGCAAGGAATGTAAAAAATTTAAAGAATCTCAGTCACACTTCTAGAATTTAGCAACATAACTGTATAAATTGTGAGATAAATTGTCCTTCTCACACAATTTCATATTAGGATAACCCCAATTTTACTCTTCCTAATAATTTACAGGGTTTATCACACAAGTGGTTAATGGTTGGTCACAAAATTGCAGTTACAGATATTTTAAACTCAACTAATAAAAACAAGAGAGAGATTTTTCTTTTAACTAATAAAAAAAGGTTTTAAAACACAATTTGTTACACCTACTTTTTGGGCACTTTCCATCAACTGCTTCAGTGTTCTTTCTTTTTTCTAACAAGGTCTTTATTTTAAACTCGTTTTGCGTTAAACTTAATAGTTCAGCCTTTAAATATTGTTCCATAATCATCATAGTAAAATGATCAAATCAAATTACGGAAGTACGAGGATGAAATGCTTTATTTGACATTTGCAGCAGCGGACTTATTTTTTGTCTTTACTTTCTTATTGTTTTTCTTGGATGTCACCAGGTTATTCACAAATGTTCATCCAACTATTTTTACCGTCTGCTACAGCACATTGCTCACTGGCATTTCAATCAAAATTTAAAAAATCGGTTGACTCAAAATTAAAAATTAAATGAGAAAAGGTTACTTTATTGCACATGTTTTACACAAAACTAAACAGCAATAACAACACATTTGACAGGTGGCAGATGTGTGCATTGAAAGCAGCACTGTCCGGGTCGTTGGGTATCGTCATTTACTCGTCTCAGGCAACCTTATTGTAGTAGCCTCGGCACTTACTTCCCACCACAGTGGATATGAAAAGATGGCACAGGTTACAAATTACTTAGGAATTTTCCAGCTGTGTCTTTATGGCTGGAAGTGAAAACTACAGCTACACTGTAACAGCACTGATTACAGAATAATTATTGCCTGCACATAACCAATAATCATATTACCTCTGAATAATTATCACTCTTTTCTTAAAGTACTATATTGAAACTAGGAAAAAAGCCTAGTGGAAGTTAAATATTTCAAATAGCAATACACATAGAGCAACAAAACTTAGTACAAAGTTACTGGGCATTATAATCATTTTAACACATTATTAGCAGCGGGGACGAGCCGGTATGAGTCTGAAGAAAATTTAAGCATATGTTGATATGTAGGTACATCAAATTAAAGGTCTTTGTAGTAAAATACAATGTCGCAAACCCAAACTCAAACAGACATTCAAGAAAAAAATGGCAGCCATTCAAAGATTACTTGATTGATTTGCAATTTTGAATATTTATTGGCTGCCATTTTTTACTCAGTTGTTCTTTTAAGCTCAAATTTTCAGCTTGTACTCATGTAATAAAGACCTTCAATTTGATGTCCATATGTTAACGTTTATGATTTTCTTCTGACTTCCAGCAGGCATCTTCCCTCAGGAGATAGTGTATAATTGCATTGCAAATTCTAGGAATCTTTGAACGGGTGTCATTTTGACTGACATTGTATTTTACTAACAAAGGCCTTAAATATGATGTGCATATCAACATATGCTTACATTTAAGATTCTCTTCTGACTCCTAGGGGGCCGTCCCCCTGAGTAGGTCGCATATCACTGAATAATCTTTTCAAAATGGTTTTTATGCCAGTGACAAAAAGTATATTTACCATATTTTAGTCTTTATTATTTTTTGTAATATTTAACTGTCCTGGGTTTTTTTTCACCCTGCATGTATTTAGTATTTTAAAATTAAATTATTAAAAGGATTTTCATCATCATTAACATCACTAACTAAGGTGGGGAAGCCACTGCACATTTTATTTAAAACAATCATATTTTATATTGGTAATCTAGAGGTTGGTTTTCATCCCACATCGAAAAATTAAAAAGGTTAAATACCTTTTCGCAATTATTTATGCAGTATTAGTTATATACCGTCGAATGATCGTTTTTTTTTTTTTTGTTTTTTCTTTGTGACAAAAGCTTTGGACTTCTTGTTGTAGTTGCACTTTTATGCAAATCAAAATAAAAATGTTACAATTCCTGCCGACTGCCTATAGTGGTCCTCGATCATCCAACAGGATTATGCGTTTTGGTATTACTATACCATCTTTAGATACTTATATACAAAACTTGAATTTATCGACACATAATGTCACGTCACGGTTTTTAAACACAGTCATGAAACATTAAATCACGAATAAACTATTTACAGTAGTCCTACGAATTGAAAGCGAGACAAAAAAGGAGCATCGCATGCATTTCAAGTGTCGAGTAAGAGCTTTGAACCCAAGTGTCCCAAATGTTCATTTCAAGCTAATACCAAGTAGTTGGAAAAATCCTTTTCATCTCGGGGGGAGTCATCATAAACTCAAAAACACTTATGTGGTCAAATTGCAATACAGTAGCCTGCTGATAGGCGGAGGGGCGTGAAATCGCCAGCAGAAGGTGAGTCATGACTCCACAAATCAATTAATTGGTGTAGACTTAAAAAAGTTTCAATACAAATAAATTTTTATTTTGATGCTCTTTTGTGTTTTTTTTTTTTTTTTACAGAGATAAGAACAAAAGATTTTATGTGCAAATTACCAACTGTAAATACCATTACTGTGCTGGAATTATTTACAAATATATATTTTATATTCAGTAATGAAATATTTATTAACCTTGTATCTTTATGTAAAGACTGTTATCTTTCCTACTTGCATTTGAAATCTGTTAGATTTGCTTGTAGGATTTATATTAGACATTCTTCTGGTGAGACTGTCAGTGAACTATGGAGAAAAAACCCAATATTAATTCTATGACAACGATACCGGTACCTAATATTTTAAATATTACTAACAAAGAAATTAAAAACTATTTGGCTACTTTTACAATGCCAACTAGTTAGAACTTATCTATATTTACTTCTAACAATAATGTGTAGTTACAACTTTACACAAAGCTATAAATTCTTTATATCGTAAGGTACTTTAAACAATTCCACCTTTCAATTTTAATTGAGTTTAAGACACATTTGCTTTATTCATACCGTTCAGTAGATTTACATATAACTTCTTTTAGATCTGCATAAGTTGTGCTTTTTCCAAGGTTTAATCATTTTTAAATAATACTTTTAATTGTCTTCTGAATGAAATACGCCTCTTTTGACTAGCATTATGGTTGATATCAAAATGTTTCTCAACATTTGAGTTCCCTGTTGTACATTGTGTTCTAACCCTCCTGCAGGAGAGTATCCGTGATGAGAGGTCAAGTTTTGTCTCCTCAAGGCCTCGGGATAGTCGGGATCAGAGTATCCGTGGATCGTGATTCTCGATTCGGATTTACCCTTACTAGAGCTGGCGGATGGTAAGTAATTGAGGCTTTGTATCATGGTAATGGATTATAAGCTTATTAATTGTAATCGAGTCCTAGTAAAAATGTTTTAAGAGAACCTTTCATAAAAGATAAATGTCTCCGTTTAAACATTACACTTTCATTTAAAATGTAATAGAAAGATTTGCAAAAAAATACAGGGTGTTTTTTTAAAAACTTGCATCTTTATTTATGTAAAAACCGCAATAGATAGAAATATGTAGTTTGCGGAAATCTATTGACGTAGGGGGCCCAATTGTTTTGAATTCAACGTTACATTCACATTCCCCCCCTTTCCCCCCCCTGCCCCCAACTTAATTTTTCTAAATAGCAAGGTACCCCTTGTGACATATCAAATGAAAGAGCATGAAAAAAGAAAATGTTTGATGAAAAAAAATTGAAAATCGGTTCATAAATTTGCAAGATATTTCCCCCCCCTTCCCCGGAACTTAATTTGTTTTAATAGCAAGGTACCCCTTGTGACATATCAAATGAAAGAGCATGAAAAAAAGAAAATGTTTGGTGAAATTTATTTTCACAAGGGCGGGTACCTTGCTATTAAAAAACAAGTTATGGGTAGGGGGAAAGGGGGGATTATCTCACAAATTCATGAGCCGATTTTAATTTTTTTTCACCAAAAATTTTCTTTTTGCATGCTCTTTCATTTGATATGTTACAAGGGGTACCTTGCTTTAAAAAAAATTAAGTTCCGGGGGGGGGGAGCAGGGGAATATCTCATAAATTTATGAACCGATTTTCCATTTTTTTTCATCAAACATTTTCTTTTTTCATGCTCTTTTATTTGATTTGTCACAAGGGGTACCTTGCTATTTAAAAAAATTAAGTTGGGGGCAGGGGGAGAAAGGGGGGGAATGTGAATGTAACGTTGAATTCAAAACAATTGGGCCCCCTACGTCAATAGATGATTCCCGCAAACTGCATATTTCTATCTATTGCAGTTTTTACATAAATAAAGATGCAAGTTTTAAAAAAAAACACCCTGTATATGAACTCTTTATGGTAAAAGTCTATTTCATGTCAATCATGAAATGAACTGTTACTTAGAATATAAAGTAGAATATTACAGTTAAGACTACTTCCATAGTTCAAGATGACTTATACAATTTTCAATTATATATATTTCTAATAACCTGCAACTAAATTATTACATTTTGAACAATAACTCGTAATGAAAACTTTTGATATTTTTCCAGTCGATGACATTGTTATTTTATCAAACTTGCTCAGTTGTTACCTGTATTGTAGTAGTAAATAATGTAAATAACAATCATACTTGGAAATTTGCTATCCAAATCATGAATATACAGTTTAAATTGAGGGCCAAGGTAAGTATGAATAAACTAACAAAGACTAGATCTATTTTATCCATTTTGTTCAAACTGAAAAAATATTCTACAATTTTCCCTTGCTATTTTTTGAGTACAGAATGATAGGTTCCAGACTTCCAATAGATATTACTACGAACATGCTTGTGGAAAGTTACTAAAATAATTAATCCAAATAATCTGTACACCATATTTTTGTAATCTTTTAAACCTTAACTTCCACAAACAGGGAATTACCATTACGTACAGTAAATTCACATGGGCAAACAAGTGGTTACTTTTTTAAATTATTAATATTACTGTCCAACCTTTAAATCTTAGGGGGCTAGGTTTTTGCCTGGAACTGTTTTACACATTACATTGACTAGTCCTCGAGGGTTGCTGTATGGATAGATAAAATCCATTGGTGATTGGCGGGATTTGAGCCCGGGACCTTACCACTAGACCGGCTCAATACCCAAACTAGTGGTGACTTCAGTGATAAGACGGTGGCCAGTTGTGTCCAGTTTACAGCCAGAAAACCGCTTCTGCTGACCTTCAGCTGATAACAAACTGAGACTTTGTTAAACCCTTATTTACATGGGATTGCATACATTTTTCAATCTATCTATCAAAAATTACGATATAATTCTTCAAATATATCCGTTTTTGGCCTCTATCTTTTCCCAAAGTTAAAACTGAAACAAAAGTATCCAAGCACTGACCACCCACCTTATCGTCCAGGTTCGATGTTCTGGTCAATGGAGGAGGTGCAGTGACACTTCAGTTCCAGCGGAGCCCCTTCCAGCCTCTCACACGCACCCTGTTTGTCCCCTGGAACCAGATTGTGGTGCTTCCTCCCATCACCATGCAGTTAGGGGACGATGCGGATGGATACAGAGGACCCCCGCACCCTGTGCTCTCCTTAGGTAAGTGCCAATAAAAGACAAATGAATCAACATGTGTATGCAATAATTTCCATTACCTAATTGAAAAAAAATATGCCTTAATAAAACCTAAACTTCATTCTCAAATCTTAGGCGGTTAGAAGGGAAGTGATTTCATCCTTTACACCTCACCCTAACGTTGAAACAATAGCCGGCAGCTGATGAGGTGATATTTACATTAACACGTTCGCTGCTGACCGCTAGATGCCGGGACGGCGCCAGGAGCTGAACTAACACTCGCTGCTGCGTAAACATTGCTGCCGATACACTGAATTACAGTAAAAACAACAGTAGCTATACTGGATGGCAATGTTCTGCAATAAAACCGGCTTTGGACATAGTACTAAGTGATTCTGATAGATAGCAGCACTACCCAGGTTGCAGTCGGTAAATTAGTGTCGCTATCTAGCAGGAAAGAGGTGGGACAAAGCGCTGTTCTAAACGACCCTGGTGGTGATTTTGGGAAACAATATTTTTTATTGTCAGAAATATACGTTCCCACGAGCTGAAAAGAAATAATAGGACGCTCGTGACGAGCTGGCTGATCCATGAAAACGTTAAACAATAATGAACAGCGACGTTCCGGAACGTTCCTAGCTCCTGGCGCCATGGCCCGTTTGACGTTCCGGAACGTCCGTAGCAGCGAACGTGTTAAACTAAAAAAAAGTGGATTGGGTACCCAGAAAATCTTCCCCTTAAACCGCCTAAATTTTGTGGACTATAACTAGACTATTTTTTCACACTTTTTTAATAAGAGTTTGGTAGTTGATATAATGTTACCGAACGTCTTTGTCCAGGCGCCCCAAGTTTGACGTCGGCACTGCACATGGTTGAGCCTTGTTTGGACCATGACAATACTCTTCTGGTACCAGTAGTCCTCTCAACATGGATGCCTGAGAAAGTCGGCGGTATGGCAGGAAAAAGTCTCATCTTTGCTGAAACTCAGGTTTGTTTACATAAGTTATTAAATTAAAATCATTTTTGTAAACAAAGCAAAAACTTGTGAACAAAAGATGTAGTATAAATAATTATACTATAAGTATTCTTCTTTGTTGGTCTAAAACAATTAAGGTAAGAATTTGATTACAAACTAGCTTTAAAAATGTATAGGAGTTTATAAGTTGCAATTTTTGTTTTAGAACAAAATTTAAATTCTCTTTCTAATTTAAATTGTATTTTAAACAAGATAGCTGGAATTAAACTTTATTATGTGTGGTTGATTTGGCATTTCAACTTTTATAGAAGAATATTTTTCATTTAAGAATTTTTTTTTTTTAACAAGTATTTATTTACAATCTATTCAATACTAGAATAATAAGTAAATTCAATAACCATTTTAACATGGGTTAGTTACACTCCATCAAGTGCACTAACATACAAAAACTTTTAAAAAGTTTAACTAAAAACGATTTGGAAGGTCTATTGGATTAACAAATGTCTAATATAAAAAAATTAAATTTCAGTGTCACTTTTGAATACTCTAATGTTTGAGATTGTCAGAAATATTATTAACTTATAGACACTAACAAAACAAAATTTAAATTGACCAACCAAACGCTAATTAACACCTTACTTGACAATTCCTGACAATCTGGAGGCCAATCCATTACAAAGTTAAAGTTTTTGTTTTTAGTTTCAACCTATCTTTTGATCTGGAAATTTAAGCACAAATCTAACTCATAACTTTTCCCATCACAGATGCTGCAAGAAAGTATCCGTATCCCTGGATCAGGGCTCCATCTAATGTACCGCAGCAGCCTTGCCTCCGGATACCTCTCTAGAGTGGTCATGAGGCTCACTCATTCCCTCATTCCTCGGTCCCTCGTCCGAGTGCATGTTCGAGTGGAGATCGAGGGATCCGTGCACAGCAAGACCTACGAAGCAGATCCCAACCTCACTCACACCTTCGCTTGGAACAAGCGCAATGTTTATAAACAGAAGGTAGGTCCCTTGTGTAATTCACTTATGTTTTATCAGTACGAAGTTTGTTTGATTCTCAATCTTAAATGATTTTCAAAGTTAAATTGAGGCTACAGGCATAGAAATGTTGCTATAAGCAAGAAGTAAAACTTTTGCATAATTACACGATGAGGAATAAAATTAATTTAGTTAACCTTACCACAAGTGAGAAATATTTAACAACGACTTGCGTTAAATGGGGCTAAAGCTGCACAACAACAAAGTATCCCTGTACTGTATGTAAACCAAATTGAGTGTTAAGCTACTTAAAGAGCAAATTAGAAATATAATGAGGGATAAAGCATACTACTCAGTACTCACACTATGGATGATACCCTATCTACTTCAGTTATCTCACCATTTCATTTCAGTATAATTTGTGTTTAAAAATCGCTATTATTAAACACAGGTTCTGATGTTTTGATTGTAAATTTTAACAAACAGTTTCTTCAGTCTAATGTTGTCTACCTTTATATTTATTGGTTTATCCACGTAGCTCTTGATTTCTTCATTATTGATAGCCACTTTGATAGATGCAAAACCTATTAATATTCTTATCAAGTATTTTAACCTTTTTGGTTTGTGATTATATACATTTTTTTATTGATGAATACTGTATGTTTAGGTTTATGGAGTGGCCCAGGCAAAGATATCGGTTGGCTACGAACACGCAACTTGTCCAAACATCATCTGGGAGACACAAACAGCTATGCTGCAAGGGTTTGATGTTGACATTTCTGATGTTGGGGGTTGGAGTCTGGACATTCACCATCATTATAACTTCCATGAAGGTTTGTAGGTTGTACCAAGAAGTTTATCTTTTATATCTGTGATCTTCCCTTTAGTTCACTTACTTTACTTGAATTAGAAATAGATTATTCCAAAGTCAAGTCACGAGGGCAATATCCCGAATGTAACCCCGTCTTGGAGCTTTTTTGGACTTGGCAAGAATTGCCATCTTGAGGTAAGAATGTTTCTAAATTCATTACCCACCCAGCTACACAACTGTAGCTGTACAACTGGTACATGTTGTAATTTTTATACTGAGTTTTAAAAGGAAATCTGTGATTTAAAATCCTGCCAGATGGAAAGCGTGTGTCTTGCAAAATCTTTTTTATTTTCAAAAACTACAAAGCAATTAAAATTTACGCTTATGGTCAAGAATAAAATCAAAGTGAGGCAGTGGTGCTTTGGTTTTAAAAATCCATGAAGCAGATTTCACTAAGGTAAGGATTACAACAGTAAGCCCTAGTATTGTATCTGACAAAATAGGTGGAAAACTTTGTTTAACAATAATGGTTTAGTTCATAAAGTTTTGGAAAGGCTCAGTGAAAAACATTCTTAGCTAATGCTGAATTATTGGATGCCCAATTAGCTAGGCATTATACTGTTGTCTGTTTTATACTACTAAATATAATTTCTAAAAACATTTTTATTTGGTCATAGGTATTCTGCAGAAGGGAGATGGTTCCACCTTACATCTGAAGCAGTTCCCGCGCACAGTGCGTGTGGTGATGGGCACTGGACTACAGAGGCCTCTTGTGTGTAAGGACTGCGATGGGCCTGCCAAGGACGCGCGATTGCTGACCCCGGTAGCTCTCACCTCAGGACCTGATGGATCGTTGTATGTTGGAGACTTCAACCTGGTGCGTCGTCTCACTCCACAAGGAAGTGTGTACACCGTGCTACAACTCAGGTTTGTACTGCGGCTTTGATGAAATGAATCTGCCGTTTAATCCCTGTAGTCTTAGTCTATATATTATTTATCCATAGATGTCGTTACACGTATGTTAAGGATAATTATATATATCTTAGCTTTTTAATAATTTGCAACTGGAAAGACTATGTGTGGATTGTCTTGATATCTTGGGTGGCTAGCTGTAACTATTGCAGTCTTTTGCACAACAGCTCGAATAAATCTCACATCAAGTGTATTATCTGCTCAGATGGCCAGTGGTCAGCCAACATAAAAACTTTTTGAATCCTTAGAAAGCCAACAGATCTGGTCACAAACCATGTATTTTTTCGGAGACAACTGTTGTGAAATAATAGTGTACAATTGGTCAATAGAGCCAAATAAGTGAACACTTGATAAGCTCAAATAAATGTAGCATATTCTAGACAGTGGAATCTCGGTTGCCTTCATTTTTCACAATCCCAGCTTTAGTAGAAAGCTGATATTTTCTAACAACTTAGGATATACAATTACCAAAAATGTAAAAAAAATACTCTAGTTGTACTGAGTAGGCACTGTAATAAAAAAACACCTATCACAAAACTAAATAATCTGTTTACAAACAAAACTTTTAAGTTACCTACTTGTTCACTCTTTATAATTTATTTTCTGAATAATAACACTTCTGAAAATTACAGTGCCACCCAAGTTTCCTACCAGTACTACTTGAGCCTCTCCCCAGCGGACGGTCGTTTGTACATCTCCGACCCTGAGAGGCATCAGATCCTGCGGGTGCTGAACCTGGACTCTGTCCCGGACCCCAGCATCAACTGGGAGCCGGCTGTAGGGTCCGGGGAAAGATGTATCCCGGGAGATGAGACCAGCTGTGGAGACGAAGGACCTGCAATCTCAGCCAAACTGGCACATCCTAAAGGTGATTGACGATACATCCATTCTTTTTCATGATTAAAAGTTATCTGTACAAAATTATAAGTTTGGTTATTTTTTCAAACTTTTTCATATAAGATAAATCATTATTCAAGTATTCAAACATCTAATATGACAGCAGAATTTAATCAATTTGTCACTTCCAGGCCTAGCTATAGCAGCTGACAAGACCATGTACTTTGCTGATGGGACCAACATTAGGTCTGTTGACCCTGATGGTATCATTCACACTCTGATTGGGCATCACCGTCATCTCAACGTGTGGCAACCAATACCATGTCTGGGAGCTATCCCTGCTCAGCAGGTAAAAACAGTAATTTTTTTTCTTAAAAATCATTTTTTGTGAATACTCTGTACTGTACACACATATACACACATAAAGTAGCGTACTCTGTGACATAGTACACACTATAAAATTCACCTCGATGAAAGAGTCGAGCATTTAGTCAACATCAACATACTCAAACATTATAGAATATGAAATTCCAAAATTCCCAAAACAAAAGTTCAGGTCATACAATAAGATGAGAAGTATACACACAGTTTCAAAGTTCAAAGTTGTTCAATTAAATGATTTTTTCATTATCAGGCTCAACTGCAGTGGCCTACAGGATTGTCGTTGAGTCCGTTAGATGGCAGTCTTCACTTCATCGATGATCGTCTAGTGCTGAAGCTTACAGCTGATATGAAGGTCAAGGTTGTAGCTGGCACCCCTCTCCACTGCCACTCGCACAAGGATGACAAAAAATCTGATGGACATGCTCCTAGAACTGAGAGTCAACATAAAAATCAGGTTAGTACACAAATTAAGACCAATCTCAAGTTTCTTCTTTAACTTTCTGAAATTTTTAAATTTCAAACAGTAGCACCTTTTATCTTTCAGAAAACAAATCCACATATTTTATATACACATACTCAGGGATACTGACTCACCAAACAATTTAAAAAACACACAAATTTCAAAGCTAGAAATAAAGCCAGAGGAATGTCAAACAAGCTGTAAGCTCACAGCCGCAATTTCGTAGATATAAACTGCATGGAAAATTTGAACTATGAACATCATGTACAATTGATTATAACTAATAAAAGAAATCATGAAAGGATTTTTGTAGTTAGAGGTTATCAAATATTAGTCTGTAAATCTTCTATCGTAAGTGAGATGAAAACTTGTTATGCTTAGCAAACTTTCCAGCCAGAGCAGGGGGATGTTTTGAGATTATTGGAGCTTATTCAGAATAATAATTTTACAATAGCATGAAATACTAATTTTTAAAATTTGTGTACCAACAAGTTGATGAGCAATGTGAGTTTAGAACAACACATGGTTGGTTGCCAGTTCAAGACCAGTTGCCTTATAACTGCAGATATCAGTCACTGGCTTGCTCATGTGATTACACAGTTCTTCACTCTTTCTACATCACCACTATAGTTCAGCCGCTTAGAAAGCGACCTCCTCCAGCATTGGTTTAGCATTAGCGCGCAGGTCGTTTTCTAAGCGGCCGAACTATAACTATCAGGACACTGGTGAAAGTTAGTTGAGGTTTAAGAAACATTTAACAAGTCAAGTTCCATTACTTGATTTTTCTAAAACTATTCCTTTTCTATAACAGAACCAAGACGACGACAGTCCATCCACGCTGGGACAAGTGTTAGCTTTAGCGTTCAGTCCCAACGGACAGCTGTTCATCGCTGATAGTGACTCTCGCAAGGTGAATGCCATCAGAGTAGTCGATCCAGCTGGTAGAATGGCTGACTTTGCTGGTAGAGGACACTTCTTTGACAAAAGGTATTTCATTTAATCAATCATGCAAAATAATCTATTCCTACATTTTCCTCTCGTATATGGCAGTGTTTTATATAACAAACACATAGATAAACTGTAGGAATATTTGTTTAAATACTAGAAGATTGCTTTTAAACCTTGAGTTTAGTTTAGTTTTTGTTTTCCTTTATTTGGCCAAATCTAAAGAAAATATTCCGATCACCTGTTAAAAAAATCCTTAACAGTGCGGTGTATTACATGTTTTTTTACACAAATGAAGGGCCTTCAGCAAGAAAGAGGCAGCTCCATTTCTGTCCAAATTAATGGTGTAGCATTTAAGGAGTTGGATTAGAAATAATGTCAAGTAATAATAGCTCTGTAGCAAAATGTCTTAATATTTCTTCTGTGGCTAGTTACTCATCATTGACATCAACTAAGCAGCTTCATCAATGTGTTTGTGCTAAAAAGCTTTTCCAACCTCTCTAAATATAGCTACACCTCTTCCACTTTCTATAGATGTTTTCCTTTAAGAGTAAAGTTCTCTTTTATAACATCTTACCATTTCTTCAAATTCTTCTTTTTCCACTAATTTATCTTTCCAAGCCAGATTTTTCCCATTTTTAATTCATAACTTTTTAATCAGTAAATAATTTAGCTTTGTCATTCTGGTTGTTTATTATGTTGTTTTGTCACATCCAAACTTAGGCTGTGGTTTTTTTTTGTTTTTTTTTTGTAAAACTGTATCAAAATGTCTGCTTTGAAGTCTTTCTATCTCGTTTTCCGTTTTGTGATCGATAGTGTCTGGAACAATCCTTCAAACAAAAAACCTACCATCACAAACAATGAACTTCAACCAATAAATCTGTGTAGGTGCATCTTATATTGTAATTTTCTGTATAGTGTATATGTCCTGCAACTTCTTGTTACGCTGTATGTTTAACAACTTTGTTTCCGCAGGGAATGTGACTGTGTGGCCAGCAACAGTTCCTCCACTGTCCCATGTCAGTGTTGGACGGAGGCTAGCATCACTTCACGTGAGACCCTCATGTCTACCACTGCTAGGTTCACCTCCATCTCTGCCATCGCTGTCTCCCCTGACGGTGTCGTTAATGTTGCCGACCAGGTGTGTTGCGGTTTTGACTGGTCGTAAATATTACATCTTCCCTAGAACTGCCGGGTGATTTTATGTCGAATCACAGCTGTTTCTGTGGTGCCACCAGTCACAAAATTACCGACCCATTATTTTACAAAAAAATATTCAATCTCATAATTAACGGATTGATTTACATTAAGCATAGATTTAAAGATAAAGTTGTTGGCAATTTCGCTAACTCGCCTGTATTATTTTTTTTGTTGGGTTAAGATAATTAAATTTTTGTTTTCTTTATCTAAAGCATTCGATTTTCTTTCATGGAACAATTTCAACAAACAATAGATAAGATCCAAAAATTAGATAATTTTTCCTACAAAATGTATAAAATAAAACTTATTTTACAACTAACGGTACTTATTCATAGATTGTATTTTGGAATTTGTAACCGGCAGTTCCAGGGTGAAGGTTAAAAGTAGTAGAAGTAAAAATATTCTTAAATTGATAGTTAGATTGTTAAATAAAAATTACCAACTAAAAACTAGTTAGTTATTTCTCTTTTATGAGAAGCAGTGCTCGATCTGAGGAGGAAAGCAGTGATATCACAGAACCTCTGTCTCCATAGATTGGTTTGAAGTTTCGAACTATTAACAAACTATATATTTCCAAATACTGAGGCTATGATATTTTCCCCTGCTTTGGGATATACACTAGCACAGTTGCCTATTAGGATAGGTTTTTATAGGGACGGTGGAGGATGTAGAGGGGAAGTACAGCCCCCGGTATGTTTCAGTTCCGAAGAATGTTTTGATTCGGGTACATCAAATTCTTCAAACTAACCACTGATAAAATTAATTTTAACAACATTTCCAAATATCACTATAGCTTATGTCACTGTAATATTTTTCAGGGTAACCTACACATCCTTGCTCTGGAACACTACTTGGCCACTCATGACGAGAATGGAGAGTTTCGTATTCCCTACACTCCGACCGGAGAGGAATACATCTTCAACAGATACGGACAACATATCACCACCCGGGACATTACCACGGGGAAGCCGAAATACACATTCCTCTACAGCAAAAACACCAGCTTCGGCAAACTAAGCACAGTTACGGACAGCGCTGGCAACAAGATACTGTTCCTAAGAGACTACAGCAATGTTGTAAGTGTTCCAGCCTTTACTTTATTAGAACGAGTTTGCGAACCAGCATTATCAGACTATGGGAACAGGGGTTTATGGTGGGTTTTATGGGGTAAATTTTTTTTATCATGTTTTACTCTAAAAACATAAAACTTTACAAATTCTCTCCAAACTATTTTGTAGAGCTTAAAAAAAGAAATAATTTTGGATGTTGGAGCGTTGTTGTATGCTAACGGCATTGACTTTATATCTACACATATCTGTGTGAATATAAAGTCAATGCTAGCGGTTATGGAGATAATTTTAATAGGTAAATTTAAAATTCCCATTATATGGAGGATAAAAAACTGTTGTAGTTTGTTTGTTTATGGATATATTTTAATCAAATTTGGCAATTTTGTTTGTTTCATAATAAACTATGAACCTTTCAATAGAAAAACACACCTCAATACCTTCCCTGTAGCAGAAAACCTAAGTACTTATTAAAATTAATGTTATTTAAATAGGAGTTAAATCTGACAATTTTAAGCGAATATTTTAGTAGGAATCCAGCCAGGTTAGTGAAAATTCGCTTAGTTTGCAGGTTTGCAGAGGTGGGGGTATTTTTATTTTTTAGTCTAGATAATTTATGGAGAAGTATAAGAACTAAGAAGCTGTAGTTAAGAAATAAGTTGTCCTATGAGTTTAGCATTGTAAAAAATCAAACAGTGAAGAAAAAAAGTAATGATATTTTAGAACAGCATACACTCTTTTGATGTTATGTCCTAAAGAAAGGTATATCTTATCTTTTATCTAGTTACAAATCAAATGTTCCTTTTCCAGGTGAGTGCCATAGAGAACACTCAAGACCACAAGTGTGAGTTGAACATCTCGGGTGTCGGGTTCTTGACCAAGTTCTCGGAGAAAGGTCGCTCAGAAGTTGTTCTGGACTATGACTCCAATACTGGACTCCTCACTAGCAGGGCTGACCTCATGGCTGGGGTGAGTACATGACAACTGCTATCAACTACTAATTTTTATCTGTGATATTTGACGTTTTTGTTCTTAACCCTTCCCGGACGGGTGACGGATATATCCGCATAAGTCATTAGCGATTAAGGACGGGTGACGGATATATCAGCCTATGGTTTTTTATGTTCCGGACGGGAAGCGGTTATATCCGCCTTCTTTTCAGACAGACTGGCAGGTACTTAAACAGTAACCAGATGTTTCGCGGTACCAAGGCGCCACTTTCCTGCTCTATCCATGGCTGCGCTCTCTCTCGCACTCCCCCTCTCTCAGGCGCTGCCCCTCTCTCCCGCGCTGCCCCTCTCTCCCGCGCCGCCCCTTTCTCCCTCACACCAACCACCTCTCCTACACCCCCCACAACGTTTCGCGCTCAACACCACGTTGTCTGTGTGTTGGCGCCAAACGTTACAGTTGTCTGTCTAGCAGAATGAGATAGTGATGCACGATGGCTTATAACATAAATAGTACTAGTTTTTCTGGTGATATTATTGAGTTATTGAACAAGAGTTTTTCGGAGGGTGATGTTGCTGTTGATGGAATGGAATTGGACGAAGATGACAACATATCTGTGCGTAGTTGTGATGTAAATAATGCAAATATCGATGGAAATGATATTGATATAGTAAATGGTTTTGTATCCGAAAATGACAAAGACGCTGATGTTCCTCAAGATGAATGTAATGTGGTTCAAGTGGAAAGTATTAGTGATGAACAAGTTAGTGAGGACGATATTGGGAATGCCTCAAGTTTTATTGACTTGGAAAAAGAAAGCCTTCATAGTTCAACCAATGAATCTACAATGGCGTCCAAAAAGTCATTTGCAAAGAACTCTAAAAAGCCATCTAAAAAGAGGTCTACAGAGGCACAACAACCAAATCTAATAATTTTTTTTAATGGTTAGTTTTTGTTTATTTAGACCAAATTAAACCTAAAAATATTAGGTTTTAGAATGGTGGAAACCGTTTACATTTCGAGTTGCAGCTCAAATTAGCCATTTTGAAGTTTAATTGACCTAACAAGCATAAATCAATGTATTGTATTGCCTCAGGGTGGTTCCACATACCTGTACCAGTACGACCACCTTGGACGACTGTCATACGTGGTGCTGCCTACTGGAGAGAGCATCAACCTGGCCTCTCGTCTAACAGCTGACGACCAGTTGGAGGTACAGGTGTCCTCTCCTGTCCAGGCGTCAGTCAACATGGAGTCCACAACACATGTCACCACCTTCAAGATGGAGGGCCACAGCAACAAGAAAATGACCATTAGAGAAGGTTTGTGTATACAAATAAAAAGTTGATAAGAATTCATTTTTAGTGGTTGGCGACCTCTGATTCGTCGAACATATCAAACAAAGCAAGAGGTGAACCAACACATTACAGGATGAAACTGTACTGACAAATTATAGTGGTGATAATAAACCAGGAATCCAAGACATCACTGCCTTAAATTCTTAGTCTGTTGCTATACCAACCTAGCCATTGACTCAGCTCATTTCAGAAAAAGTATTGTACATTACTGTAGGCCTACTTATTTGTGTCATTCAGTTCATGGCTTATATGGAAGGTGGAAACATGAACGAATTTTCTAAAGCAAAACCCAAAGTAGATTGCTGAGTTTTTGATAACCTGCAATTTACCAATGTCTAATTTTGGTACCTACCAAATGTAGGACTACTAAATTGATTTCTCAAAAATGATCAGTTAAACAATTCTGTAATTATTAGTAAAAAAGTTACGAATTCAATTTTAATTATGTTTATGAGGAGATAATACTCTCTACCCACACTTGACCAGGTCTCGCCGGGTTGTCAGAAGCTCTGAGTCTGCGTAATGGCTCATTCGTTCTGCGTCACCACTCAGGCAGCTCAGTGCAGGTGTCTGCGGAGGCACGTCACCCACTGCTGGAGCTGTCACTGCCAGTAGAGGCCGAGATGTTCAGACTGTGGAGCCGTCAGCTCGGCCAGCGTGGGCCAGTTGCCAACAGTATGGCCTGGACATACGCTCTGGTGGGCGACGCAGGCACTAGCCACCAGACTATACACCGCCAACTATGGGTACAATAATTGCTTGTAGATTATAAGATATAGCATAATATACAACTGTTTTACTATTGATCACAATTAGACTTCCTGAGTTCAAGTTGAAGTCAGTTTTAGATGAAAGTAGATTTAGTTGAAGTGAGCCACTGTCAGAGTGCGCTGATTTCAATCGTTGATTTCTGTTGAGCTTTTAACCAAGACAAATTGAAAGGAACCATGGCACCTTTTTTGTTGCATCAAAAATATCACCAAGTAAATAATCAATCAAATTGTGACAGCAGCACTCTGAGTGACTTGTTCAGCTTATACCATACATATTACCGCACATATTATTATATTTTGATAGATAACACTCTAAATCTGATCAATGTTGATGGGGCAACTTTCATGTGATTAGTATGCGTTTCTATGGAACAATATTTTTGACCAAACTTAGAGCATTTTTGGTTTTTCTCATTCAAACATATTTTAAAATTGGAAAATGTTGGCCCATTGTGCAAAGTTGTTATTTTATCGGTTTATAAATCTTTTATATATAACTCTACAGTAAGGACAATAAAAAACTGTTGACTATACTTTGGCTTTGACTAGTCTTTGAAATAGTTTACCAATTTCTTATAGGAAAATCTAATAGTTTATAGGTAGTTTGTAAACCATCTCATATAACCTTCCCATATTTATTAACTATTTATTCAAACATAAAATGTACTTTTGAAGTACCTAACAAGAAAAAATGGTTTTCTTCTTTCTTAAAACTGCAACCATCAAAAGAGCATAGAAGTCGGTGTTTTAAATCAAAGTTTAATCCACAGACAAATAAAACGTCTTATCTACTACAATAACACCCAAACTATTTTATCATTTTTATTTTTGAACCAATAAAAATGGAATAAAAGCGATAAATCAATCCTTTATGTTGTCTTATGTTTAGGTGAACAACTCGAGAGTACTAGGTGTGATGTATGAGCAGAAGACAGGCAGAGAGACTATCCTGGACAGTGAGAAGGAACCGCTGTTGGAGGTTAGGTTTGACGGCAACGGACTTCCTCTCTCCTGGCAACCTGGGCAGACATCACTCCCCGTCAACATCACTTATGACAGGTAAGATAAGATTAGATGCTGACATACCAAAATGTATTTTTCGAGAAAAGCATGACTGAAGGATTAGTGTTGATGGATGAGATGATAGATTTATTACTGGACAAAGTCTGGGAAAATATCATAATTCTTTTCCATCCAACAATTTCTGAAAAATAAGTGATTGTTGCTAATTATTAGACAGTGTGTTTGTTTATTTCATCAACAAATATTCGTAAAAAGTTTTAGGTGTTAATAAAAGTATTGAGAACCTAAGAATGTTTATGATTTATTTACATTTAGTATTTACAGTTTTAGTATAAGTAATACATGCATATTCTAGGGTTTTAGTGTTGTTAACAAGTTTCCTTTCCTTTACAGATTTAACAGAATAGAGAGTTGGGCGTGGGGTGTACAGTCGGAACACTACAGTTATGACAGACATGGACTGCTGGCAGAAATCAAGACCAAACAGGATGGAAGCACTCTATTCTCCTACAATGACGGAAACATGGTAGGAATACAATACTAAAAATAGTTAGTAAAATGAAAACAATACTGTTTTTCAATACCTACTGTACAATAGTTAACATTTTCATTCACAAAATGCCCATCCTCAATGCTCAAGTTATAGAGGTTGAGATGTTTGAACTTAAAATTAGGCATCCTGTTTTGTGTTTTTGGTTGGAATACTGGAGTGTAGCAAAGTAAATATGAGTATGACATAAGTAAGTAAATGCATCAATTAGCTACTTTGTGTGATATAATCAATGCAAGGAAGCCTGCTTTGTCAGGTAACTGTAGGAAAAATTAATTTACTTTTATCAACTCATACTCCTTACATTCCTCTGTAGATGTGGTCTAGTACCACCCGGTAGTGTTCCTTAAGTTTTTCTGTTGAACACCTCCAATCTCTGTACACTGTCCCATCTCCACTTGCTTCCATATTTTTTAAATTAATTTTCTTCTTGGTTAAGTTCTAAGGTACCGGTACTGTATATTTATTTTTCTGTCTAACCAAAAGTATTGGTCAATTTGTCCTATTGTGAACTTCGCTTTTAATAATAATGTCTTGTAATTAATTGTGTAACGTTCTTAGCTTCAATATTTCAAATATTTGAACAAACTTCATACATTTGTAAATTATCTATTTATGATATGTACCATCCTGTCTCACAGCTCAGTCACATAACCCTGCCGAGTGGTCGCAAGTTCACACTGCTGTATGATGAGCTGGGAGGCCTACGTCACGTAATGCTGCCGTCTGGAACACGTCACTCGTTTTCAGCACAGCCGTCCATCGGTTTCATACGTTACACATACACTCCCCCAGGGTCCACCCGAGCATACCTCCAGCACTTCACCCACGGGGGACATCTCCTACAGACTGTCTATCCAGGGGATGGTGCTCGTGTACTGTACAGATACCACAACTCTGACCAACTGGCTGAGGTAGGTGGTTTGTCATTACATGCATATCCTCCTCCTACCCTTCCACCAACTCCTCCTCTCCACAGTAAATCTTCCTCAATTTTATGCTATCTCATTCTCATCTCCTCTTTCTTCTTCACAACTCAGCTGATGTTAAACAGTAAAAAAGCTGCACAGATCATGTCTATTCTACACTTATCTTATATTGATATCCTTTACTCTTATATGAGCAATGTTTGCTTGTATGCTTGTATGCTTGCTTGCACAAAGATCTTGAAAACGGCTTCGACGATTTCCTTGAATGATGTAAATAATAATAAGTAAGTAATAATTAAAGACTGCAAACAAAATCTAATTACGTAAAAAAAATTAATTGAAAGTCAAAACTTTCATTGGCCTTATGGGTTGCTAAATATTATAATTTTCCGGGAAAGTTTGTGAGTCATGGAAATCAATGGTAAATGGTCATGGATAGTCATGGAAATTAATGACGAATCTTCTGTGGACACCCTGATACATTTAAATTTAAATTAATAATACCCGGATTAATGAGCTGGTGTCACCTGTCTGCCATGTTATCATGAGATATCTGGCGCTAAACAACACCACTTGCGACGTTGCCAATTCTACCAGGCCGCGGCCTGGAGTTAAAGGTGGCCGTGCTTGAGCTTGAGATACAAATGTGTGTCGACTGTTACTGAACCTATTGAATCAATCCCATCTACCAATTGCAACTTATTTATATATTTTCCCCACCAGGTTGTTCATGGCGACGGAGTGACTCAGATCAAGCATGTTCCCAACACCAACCTGCCTAGTCAGATTCTGCACACAGAGAAGGACTTTGAGTATCGGTGGGACTACCAGTATAGTGGCGGACTACTGCAGGAGGAGCGACTGGACTACAGTCCCAAGACTGGCCTGAGCAACGCCAAGTTCACCTACCAGTACGATGACAACTTCCGAGTCATCTCTGTTCAAGGAAGGATCGGAGGACAGAGTCTACCTGAGCACGTGGTGCAATACAATGCTCGGACAGGGGCTAAACAGCAACTGGGTCAGTTCACGGTAAGTAGGCAAAAGGAAGATATACTAATGTATTTTTTGTTTATCCATATTATTCATAGTTATATATTCTTTATTTGAGATAACAACATGTTACTATCATAGGGTAAGACAAGAATCATTCTTCCCATCTTTCATCATCTTTCTTCCCAACATACTCATAGGTCTTGGTTTTTGTTAAAGACGTTTGCTTTTAAGTAGCATTAAAGTGTTGAGTGTCTAATTGAACAGTAATCAATGGTGCTGACTGTTCTAGCATGGAGCCTGCTTAAAAACATAACAAAAAATGTTTCTTACATTTGAAATATTCCATTTAGTATTACACATCGTTCTATAAAGTGGTTGCTGGTATGAGAAGGCTTGGTAAATGAGAAATAATTCATTCACACTCAAGAAGTACAACAAAACTACACTGTTCACATGAATCTTGGACTCTATGACAAAAATTACTTATAATAATCATGCTTTCACAGTTTTTATTGTAATATAAACATAACATATATTGCATAAATTATGTAAAATCTCATCATTTGTCACAGCTGAGTTGGCCCCAAGACAACGAGACTTCCCTGTCTGACGGGACAGCTGTGTTCAGCCGAGTCACCAACTCATACTTTCAAGTAGCTTCAGTCTCCGTAACCATCCACACGGTCGAAGTGTTCCGGATGGAGTTTGCTTACGACTCTAGGAAGTGAGTTTATCTTGAAAAATTATCTGTAACTTCCAGGGAAGCCTAGGCACCAAATTGCAACTGAGACTTATGTCAAACCTCTAAAGTACAATTAAGATTAGTTTTGCCACCATAACTTGAATTATTTGTGCTCTTTTGATGTTTTAAATAGTTAATGAAAACTATAAAAGTAATAAGTGGAATTGAATACATGTCCATCCCAGTTTAAACCTTCCAGCCGTAACTTTTTTAATATTCATTGACATTTACTAATTTTATTACAAGTTACTTCAAAATTTTTATAAATACAATGAATAAACTTATTTTAAAAATTCCTTTTTTTCAGTCGCGTCAGCCAAACCCGAACTTACACCCGGAACGTAGGTGTCAACATGTATACCAACATCAAGAACTTGACATACGACCCCGATGGACAGTTGGCAGCAGTGGAGGCCCAGGAACCTTGGGGATTCAAGTATGACAACAATGGAAACATGCTACATCTTACATACAGGTGTGCAACCTACGGACAGTGTTGTATATGTCAATATTTTAATTGTATAGGATTAAATTGGTCTATAGTTCGGCCGCTTAGAAAACGACCTGCTCGCTAATGCTAAACCAATGCTGGAGGAGGTCGCTTTCTAAGCGGCCGAACTATAGTAATACTTGCTGTAGGTATAATAATTGTTCCATATTGCAACAGCAAAGGTTGTAGGTACAACCATAAGAAAAGTCAGTGATGTAGCTAAGGTTCAAAACTGGACCAAGCTTTCCTTGAACATTAGGCTTATAACGGATATAACGAATAGTCCGGGCCAAAGAAAAAGCTGATTGTATTTAGTAACAAAGCTAGACTGGCTGTCCCACTCCATTACACTTGTCATTGACCAATATTCAACTTATATTAGCCTCCCAAAATGTGGTCAGTTACCGATTTCTTTTATTTACAAAAACTAGAGGGTAGGAAAACATAATGGACATATCTGACCAATATAGTGGCTCAAGCAAGACCCTTGAAAAATCCGTCTTGTTATTCAACTTTAGCATAATTGGATGATGATTGGTTTTGAGTACCGGTACTCAATCATGAAGTGAAGCTTAAAATTTACCAATTTCATTTTAAATTATTAAGGTTTTACTTACATGTTGTACTGTCTGTTGTAGGGCAAACACAATCCCAATGGAGTACAACGTGATGGATCGAATAGTGAAGCTCGGTGACGGAATGTACAGATATGACAACAGAGGTTTGGTGGTGCAGAACGCAAGAGAGGAGAAATTCCACTACAATGCCAAGGGATTGTTGGTGAGAACTTATGTCGAACATGTTGCTTTGAAACCTATTCCTTTCCAAAGAAAACACTGGCACAACCATATTTTTCATTTCCAACATTTGTTATTTTGTTACACTTAAGAAGAAGAAGTGTTAATGTACATGATTATTGATTTTGGTTGTTATTTCCAGATAAGAGCCACCAAGCGAGGGAGGTTTGATGTACGATACTACTATGATCACTTGGACAGACTCGCCACGAGGAAGGACAACTATGGAAATGTCACACAGTTCTTCTACACCAATCACCAGAGGCCTAACGAGGTAAAACTACAATGATTTCAAACAGATTTTTTACAAAATTGTTTACATGATTAAAAAAAGCCCATGGTTTTATATTTATTAAAACTATTAAAATTACTATCTAACAACAAGTTTGATTTTAGATAATATCATTAACTCATAGCCCCAATGACAAATGGTATCTGGATCTGGAAATGGTCTTGCTTTTAAAATAAGCAACTTTCAGAATTGAGCACTAAAACCACTCACATACCCAGCTACCCAGTCACTCACATATTCTTACAATTATATTCTTAATGGTGTATGCTAAAATCCAACCCTGACCAAATATTGTAATTCTGTTCAACAACAATGTTGTAGGTTTCCCAGATCTACAGTCCCCGTGATGGCAAGTTGATGACGTTGGTGTATGACGACAGAGGACACCTGATCTTTGCCCAAGTTTACCGCCACAAGTACTACATCGCCACAGACCAGTGTGGTACGCCAGTCATGGTGTTTAACCAATATGGTGAAGGCATTCGGGAGATCATGAGGTCCCCTTACGGCCACATTGTGTACGACTCCAACCCGTACCTCTACCTTCCTGTGGACTTCTGCGGAGGTCTTTTGGATCAGGTAAAATCTTTGTGATACTTTTATGTGTTTAGTTTTTTGGGGAAATACTATTTTGATCTGTAATATTACAAAGGGTTTTTGTCTATTTCTATGTCTTTTCTTGGTAAATGCAACAACCACTGAGCTAAGCAGAAATTGTTAGCAAAGGTAGTTAATGAACCTGGCCAATACTTTGGCTAATTAATTTCCTTAAAATTCTCTCAGGACGGGAGAATCAAAAGTTTAGGTGGAGCTTTAGAAATTAAATATTATTTGGTATACATTGCAACAACAAGTAAAGCACAATGTTTATATTTGCTCTGGTTTACTTTGTTTATATTTTGCTAGTTATTTGAAATTGAGCTGAATAGTGAGGCCTTGGCGAATACAGCTTATAAGAGTTGTTTGATGTAATGGAATCTAAAATCAAAATATGTGTATAAGGCCAAACACACAAGTTGTTAAATATTGAATCGTTATATTTCTACATCAGTCACACTGTTTCCACCATTCAGTATTGCTTCATGTTCATATTACTAAGTCAATATAACTTGCCTTTTTAGCTGTCAGAATTATTATAAAAAAAAAACAGAAAATACTAAAACCTAACAACACTCCATGCAACACAACTATGTAAGACATAAGACATAAGACATATTTTATTTACACAATACGTTCTTTATAAAGTACATTTCATACATAAGAACAGGTGTTTCGTCATAGTGATGTATTTTATAGTAAAATTAATAGTTAAAATAATTAAAATAAACTCATGTAGGATATCAGAGAATTTTTATCTACATTATAGGGTTCTCCAAAAATTCGTCAAGTGAATAGTAGGCTTTCTCAATTATTTTATCTTTTATTTTATCTTTGAATTGAGTAGCATTTAAAGTTTTAAGATACAAGGGTAATTCATTGTACAATCTAAGTCCCATATATTGAGGGCTGTTCCTAAAAGTCGTCAATTTGTGATGTGGTAATCTGAAATTATATTTATTCCTTGTATTATAATTATGTGTAAATTTGACTACATCTGACAAATTTTCCTTAGTGTTATGTATCCAATTTAGAATTTCATTTATGTATAATCCAAAAATGGTGTGAATTCTAAGATTTTTAAACAGGTTTTTACATGATTTTCTCCTTTTTGATTTGGTTAAGATTCTAATAATTTTTTTCTGTAAAATTAGTAGGGATTTAACTTCTGTTGACACTCCCCACAGTATGATTCCATACCTCAAGATGGATTCAACGTATCCATAGTAAACTGTGATACATGTATCCTGAGGTACACAGTTTATCAGGTGAAAGAAAGCAAAAGAAATAGATCTTAGTTTGCCTTTCATCTTATCTATGTGAATCTTCCAATTAATATGAGTATCAAGCAATACACCCAAAAATCTATGAGATTCTACTAAATTTGGAATTTTATCAAGAATTACATTGTTTTTTAAAGAAAATTTAATTATATGAGTTTTATCAATATTCAGCTTTAAACCATTATCTGTAAACCAATTTTTCATACAATCCAAAGTGTTTTCTATTGATACAATTAAGTTATTTACTGAATCCTCTCTTATGATTGCTGTTGTATCATCAGCAAATAAGATTAAATCTCTGCCAATAGCTTTTGGAAGGTCATTAATAAAGATCAGGAAAAACAGAGGGCCCAATATTGACCCTTGAGGTACACCATAATTAGATAAATTCCAGTTTGACATATGTTTCACACCGTTTTTGGTCACTATTGTTCTATACTTTCTGTTCTGTAAATAAGAGTCTAATAAAGAAAAACTTTTACCCTTTATACCATAGTCTTTTAATTTAGAAAGCAAAATTGAATGATCCACACAATCAAAGGCTTTAGACAGGTCACAGAAAACACCAGCAGTAGTTTCAGACCTGTCCAAAGCCTTTGTAACATCATTGATAAATTCAATCAGTGCACTGTTGGTGCTGAATGTCTTTCTAAACCCAAACTGTTTTTCATCAAACAAATCATTGCTGTTAAAATAGTTTACTAGCCGGAAATTGATAACTTTTTCAAATATCTTTGAAAAATTACTTAAAACAGATATTGGGCGGTAGTTATTTATATCGGTTCTAGCCCCTTTTTTGTATATCGGAGTAATATGAGAGTATTTCAATTTTTCCGGGAAAATACCACATTCAAAACATTTATTAATTATATCTGAGAGGGGTTCAGCAATTTTATTTGCTACTGCTTTGATGAGTGAAATGGGAACTTCATCCCAACCCACCGATGTCTTATTTTTCAAAGAAAATATTATTTTTAAAATTTCATTTTTGTTGGTTGGTTCAAAGTTGTACAGTGAACACCCCTTTATATCCACAGATATTTTCATATTTGGATGGACACCCTTTACAATAGGATTTGGCAAGTTTAAGCTATTAACAACATTCAAAAAAAAAGAATTAAAAGTTTTGGCAACAACATTTTGGTCTTCAATTAATTCATTATTAGAGACTTTTAATGAAATATGATTGCCACAACTATCCTCTTTTCTAATGCCTAATTCGTTATTTACAACTTTCCACATAGCTTTTGGTTTATTTAATGCATTATTTATATATTTGCTGTTAGACCTTTTTTTAGAACTGTTTACAACTTTACGAAATATCTTTTTATAAGACTTTACATAGTTAAGAAAAATTGGGTCAGTACTGGTTTTGGCTTGCCAATGCAACTCACGCTTTCTTTTGCTAGAAACCTTGATACCTGTTGTTACCCAATCCAATATAACAGTTTTTATCTTAGATTTCTTTTTTACAGCCTTTAGTGGGAAATAATGATTATGTTACTTGAATGGTATGTTGTTAAGTTGACTATAACAATGTGAGTTACACTTTAGGTAGCATATAGGCATTGGCAAACACCCCTGACATGACACAAGTTTTTTTCCACAAGAAAATAATGGTCGGGTGTTGCAGGTGACATCTTTGGTTCACATGTCCGGAGGGAAGGTTTACGACCCTCTCATTGGTCAATGGATGTCTCCAATGTGGGAGGACGTACTCAACAGAGTGACCAACCCGAGGCAGCTGCATCTCTACCGCTTCAACGGCAACGACCCCATCAACGTCGGTCAGGCGCAGAGACATCTTGCTGGTAAGTGCGTCTTCTGTAATATTCAATACGGTTGGTGCTCTTTTTGAAGAAGTTAGAGGTCTCTTTTAACCTTGACTTTGTGTGTTCACGTGGGCGTCAAGGGTAAGCGTGAAATGTTTCTAGCAAAGCAGGGGTGAGCTAGTACAGAACAAGAATGAAATATAAAGATCAATTTGAAGTGGCAGCTCAGGGAGGCAAACCTCTCTGTCCCGGTTTTATATTTTGTTGCGCTACCGACTGAACCAACAACTCACCTGCCATTAGTGTGCCCTTCAGAATTGTCATTTAAGTTACATAAATACAAAGACATACTCTTATACTATGAATGAACAAATGTTAAACTTCTAATCCAAATTAATAATGTAAATAATATGATTCGATAAGAGGATTTCATCTTTTTTCATGACTTTACATAGCTTTTGAAAGTTTTGATGATGATTAATTTCTTTATATTTACTTATCTCCTATGAGTGGCCACTCATTACCACATTTGGATCTTGGCCTCATCAACACAGCCCCTCCAGTAGGTTCATTCAGCAGCATCTTTCCAAACTTCCTCATATCCTTCCATCCTGGTCTTGTTTTTTGCTTTCCAGCCTAGTCTTCTGTCTCCTGGAACTTAACTCGATACATTTTTTGTTTGTGTTTTTACTACGGTATTAAGTTCTGCTCTTTCCTTAAAATATGTACAATCCAAAGAAACATCTGGCTTTTAATCTCTCCCTCAGTATCTGCATCTTAAACAGATTTTTGTGTTTGACTTCTTTCAAATAATTTAATTTTCAAAAGTCTTGGCATCAACTTTTCTGCATAAAATTTAGTGTGTATTTTACTAAATGACAATCATATAAATTATTTTGCAGATGAAGAGAGCTGGTTGTCGCGGCTTGGCTATGACTTGTCAAGTTTAGCTCCTCAGTTATCCAAGCAGCAAGGCGTCCCTCAGACTGACAAGTTCAGAGTCACCTCAGGGTTCTACTCTCAACTGAGCCAGAAGATGATGACAGGAGGGCTCAGCTCCCTCAGTCACCCAGAGGCTAAGATGAGACTAGATCCTCTCAGTCCGGCACTAGCGTCCAGCCGAGCTCAGCCGACCAAGTCTGTCTAGTGAGTTGAAACTAGGATAAATTATCAACTACTATGCATGTTGAAGCCACGATGTTCAGTTTTATCAAAAACATGAGTCAATAGCTTAAGCAATTATTTCACGGACTGAGTGATATACTTTGTGTAGTATTGAACTATTTTAAGCTGAATATGAATGCAGAGTATGTAACGCAGTGGATGATCTTCGTAGCTTTATCAGCTTTTGATTAGGATCGGCCGTTTCTTTAGCCAGGATCATTTATTAAGCCCAATTATATGCAATGTTTCCTTTCTGTTTGGCTTTATAGACATTGGTGTATTAGAAAGAAATCAGTTATTTACACCAGTACACTGCCGTGGCTCCATTCAACTACGTTCATTTTTAGTTGGTATGTCTATTTCTATTTATTGCCAAAACTGTTATCCGAACAAACGTTCTTAAAGTTTAGTGATAGGTACATGGACCTTGAAAGTCAAAGCAAATTGTAGGCTTGGACACAACAAGAATGATTACCTCATTTATACAAAAAAAGGGACAGCTCTAGGTTCAAAGACATAACTCCACTGTTGGTAATTCTGAAAATAACATCAATTCCTGATGTCTATACATTGTTAAAAAAAGGAGATTATGATATTACACTACAATTATAACAGTATGTTTATTCTGCACAGTGGCATGACGTCGCAGCACATACAGAACTGGCTGCTACAGCCAGGTTCTTCCTCAGAGCCTCCATTTGGAAGAGGGATCCTAGTCTCGCGTCAAGCCGGCAACCGGGCGGTCGTCCATAGTGTTCCTACAGCAAACGCCATCTACAGAGACGTCATCACGTCTGTTTTCAACAACACGTTCCTGTTACCGTTCACTCTAGTTGCACACGGGGCGCTGCAAGATGCGTTCCACTTTGTGAAGGAAGACGCGTGGCGAGCGTCTGAAGACAGAGCACAGCTCAAGCGCTTCGGATCCCAGTTCAACACGACTTTCCACGAGAAAGACGGTGAAGCTGGATCTGGGAAGGTAGAGTGGTTGATATCAGTTTTAATATTAGTTTTGGCAAGAGCTATTCATACTTTAAAAGACAAAACTAGTATTTTTGCTGTTTGTGTTTTTAGGATTGCTATTTTTTTATTTTTTACTTACAAGTTTTAAATAATTTTAGGTATCACAATTATGATTTTTTTTACAACGACCCAAGCAAAAGAATTACCGTAATCAATAAAGGTATTATAACAGCATTATAACTTAAGTAATAAAAAATTATATTTTTGCTAATTGATTTATTAATGAGAAACTTCCATTTTGAATTATTTATATACTAGAGTAACATTGTTAATTCCTTAATATTCTAATAATTCTTCTAACTCCCATTGCAGGTTCTTGATGTGAGAATACACCGTCCGAACGCAGTGATAAACCTGCGCTACGGAACCACACTGACGCGGGAACGCCAGAGGCTGCTGCACCATTGCAAGACAGCAGCCCTGCGCAAGGCGTGGCATCGAGAACGTGACGCTCTGCGCAACAACGTCCCCGCAGCGTGGGACTGGTCACAACAAGAGGCTGACGAGATACTGAAGCTGGGAGCAGCAACCGGATATGATGGGGAATATATCCGAGACGTAGACAGATATCCAGAACTGGCTGAGGATCCGTACAACATTAGGTTTGTCAAGAAGGCCCAAAGTCGGCGATAGTACACAGGGTAGAGTTTAACATGGCGCTAGACAATAGTGGAAGCAAAATATGATTTTAAGGTGCTACGAATAGTCACAACAAATTTTTTCGGTTTGTGAACGAAAACGTAACAATGTTCTTAAGGTTAACTCCTAACATTTTCGCTTCCACTTTTGAACTACGTACAGAATGAGTTGTGATAGTATTTTTTGACGATGGTTCTCTTTTCTGAGACTTTGATGTGATTTAACTTATTTAAATTGAAAAAACAATTTACTGATGTATGACGTCAGAATCGAGTCGACACTACATTCCCGAGAACGTTTGAGATTTTCTCGAATTTTTATGAGATATTTGTAAATAGCGATTAATTTTATATGAGTGCTTGTCCAATCCACACCATAATGTTGTTCTTTGTTACCTTTGTGTAAATAAAAAGATATCTTTTAATCGTCTAGCCTTATCTATATCTAGATATACGAATGGTACTTATCGGTCAAAGTATTTTTCTGAAACAGAATAATTTTGTAAGAGTCGTTTCAGCTTGGGGTCCCTCTGAATGGTGCTGAAGTGTTTTGATTTCACTGTTGTCTAAAGCCTGTTTAAAGATAAGTTAGGTGTATAAGTCTGTATATTGATAACTACGTTAGAACTTTGTATCAGCCTTTCGTACTTTCATTATGGTATATGACGCAACAACTGGAATCGTTTAAAATCACAACCCTTTGTAAAGAGAAATGCTGGAGAAACGACGTTACCTCGAATAAACCGTTTCAAGCTTTTGAATTCTGATCATTACATTCATAGAGAGCGTCTAGTGAATTGTAAATATACCAAAATGTGCGCTACATTGAATCCTAAAGTTGTCCTTAAAATCAAAGTATATTTTTATGATCATTATTGCCTATTTAAAATAAGCGTTTTAGAATATCAATTTATTAGTGATAAAATGCCTTTCTGGGCGAGTACGTGTAATATATGCATGGTATGTTTCATGTAAGCTTGACCAATATTTTTATCAGTTGTCGGTGTCCGTAGAGCATGTACAATCCGTCTTTGTCAGAATCTATATTCCAGTTGTTGCACAATATATGTTTTCTACTCAAATTTACTCGATTCACGATATAAGGAATATACTCAAATGACTTTTGAATGAGCGAGTGAAAGGAAAATTTAACGTTTTATACAGAGTGATGATTTTTTAGAGCTTATGTAAATAAAAGTATTAATATTGTCAGAGAATTATGTAAAAATAGAATATTTTGTCAGGCCTATGTCGAATGAGTGTGTGAATCTTCGAGTGTGTATGGTGTGAAAACGGAATTATTTAAGTAATGTTTCTATTTATATGTAACAAGACTTAGAATATATAAATATATATATGTTATATGTTTACCTCGTTCCCAAAATCATTTAGACTGTTAAAGAGGCTTAGTTTGAGTAGTTTGATCAAATTTTCAACTTCCTAATTTTTAGTTTTTGCTATTGATCTCAAATTTGTTATTTATTTAGAACACATTGCATTGAAATAACTTTTTAAATTGTTTCATTACATCACATGTATTTACTGAACTTCTTTTATTTTTTACTTTTTGTATTAGTGTATTTGATATCCGACTATTGTTATTGTATTATATTATATTTGTATATGTATTTTATTGTAAATGTTTTAGGCTACTGATTATCTTGATTGTGTTACCTAATTTCCTTTTAGGATGGTAAAATTTTATCTTTTAGTGATAACTATTCTTGTTTACGGATATTTAGGGTTCAAATAATTTTCCAAAATGTTTTATCAGTTTCCTAATTTTGTTTATGGTAATAGTTTTGATTTGAGGTATCACAATAAAAGCTGTATATGAAGACATTCATACATGCAACTGTGAATAATGTTTTGAGACACCGTAAAATCAGAAAACAGAAGAGAAATTTGTTAGTTACTAAAACTAATCTCCTAACATTGATTTTACATTGAATATTTTTGTTTGTCTCAAAGTACTGTGTTCCTAATGATTCTTCAAAGGTCTGTCATGAGATTTCTTTGTCTGTGTACAATGCACTTTAGTCCTACAATAGATGTCAGATGTTTCCTTCATTGATGTTGCTCTCTGAAACTGCATCCATTTGTTTTCTCTAATAAATGTTTAGTAAATTTATTTACTTTCCTCTTCTTGGTGTATTCAGGAGAATGATCAGTACTTCAATCATATAAGAATCTATTTATCATTGCCATCTTTTCCAGACTTTACCTAGGGATTAAATATTGTATGCATCTTAGTCAGAAGGGATGTGCAGACTAAGTCAATAAGTTCTCTAATGAGACTGAAATATTTGTGTAAAAAAATCTTGATTTATTGAGACCTAATCAATGGCCAACCATACTCCTGAACGTTATTTTTTTAATATACCTCTAAAAAGTCTTTGACAACATTAACTCAACCAACTCATCTTCTCTACCTCCTGAAACCCGCAACTCGTTTCAAACACTCAAACTACCTTCTTATTCCCTAACAGGTTTTCCAAACTATAGTGATATTGTGATATTGATATACTGATTTTTCCCTGGATAAATCAAGATGAGAGAGTATATATGTTATTCTTGAATGGACGAAAGAATGGTTGTAAACAGTTAGTTTCCCTCGGTCTGCTCCTAGATTATGTGACGACTGATCAGTTTTCATATGTGTTGACTAACGTGTATTATTGACAAGCTTACAGAGTACAGCCTTATTTGCATATAATTTTATACTAGAGGCCCCCCAGATCAGTTAGATGCTAGAGTTCCCTTTGCATCTTAGAAATTCCAATTTTGTAGAAATTAAAATCCTTATTTCATTACATTTTGCATCAAAAGGAATTTAACTTGATGGGTGTTTCTGTGTTCTTAGCAGTTACGTTGTTTTTTGTTTGTTTTTTATTTGTTTTTTTTAGGTAGGAACGCAAACAATCAAATTATCCGTCCAAAGTAATCACAATTTTCAACTTTCAAGACATTAAGTAGTTTTTTTAATATTATTTCTTTACTTAAAAGTACAATTCATTTTTTTCTGAAACATGTTAAACTAAAATAAATGTTGTTTGAACTTACAACTGTTTATGCATGTGCTTAATCCAGTGAGAAAATCCAATAAATAGTCATATTGCATTTTTTTCTAATTTGAAGGCCAGAAACACCCATCGAGTGATTTACCATATTTAATCATATTTTGTTTAATTCAGAAAGATATTTTTATCAGAAACATTCCTACCCCATGAGACAGTTACAGATTAGTGTGTGTATCGACTATTACACAAGTATTGTCAATTGTTTATAATGTAATGGCATCGGAGTTCCCGCACATGTACTGTATATCTGACATACGCAATGTAATTCACTTTATGTTTTTTCTGGAATATGTCATATTCCTGAAGTGGGAATGTGGAATCTTTACACAGCTTCTTATAACATGTTACCATATAAAACCCTTAAGTATTTTTTGTATCGGTGGAATATGGACTGTAACTTTATGTTAATTGATATTTCAGATGTCAGTGTTATTTTGATATTACATGTTACCTATGTATAGCATACTCTGTATTCGTGGATTTTTTTGTCGTACGATTGTAATTATTTATTTATTGTACATTTTTTAATAATTTCTGAACTGCCAAATCAATTTTATGTAGAAATAGATTTTAACAAATTTAATGGATGTTTTTATTACCTCTGTTTATTTTTATCAGTTGTGTGAGAAATGAGAGATGTGAATACAAAGTTCTGCAAACAAACATTAAACTGTAGCCTAGTAATTAGGGATCCATGTCATATTAAATGGAATACACTTAATATACAGAAAGGCAATGCTACGAAACTATATGTGTACCCTGTGTATATAATATGAAACCTCTTTACTGAACTTGGCCATGGACGATTCTTAGCTAATCTGTATGACATTCTGACATTCATACAAACTGTAGCTGTCAAATAGCTGTCCAGATTTAGCTAAGTCAGTATACCTTAAATCTCAATTATCAAGAACAAGTTTCAGAAAAATCTTCACCCAATAGTAATCTTGGAACTGGGACTAAAATCCTGTGAACATTAAAAATGTATAAAAATATCTATCTGACAACAAAGAACAATGAATTGTCCTGTATCTTATCAGTCACTTCTCAACTCTTACAATTATTTCGCGAGAGAGAAAAATTTGCTCTTTGAAAAGAGTTTTTCAAAGTCTAAATTTGAATTTTAAAAATCTCCATCCATGAAGGTAAAGGCAATGAGCGATTATTCACTCATACTTGCAGATTCAGTAGTCCAGAAACCAGTCTTTGACTATAGAATCTAATATCGTGAAACTGCCATTTACCTAATATCACAGCTCATTGATACAACATATTGTTTAAAATTGAAAATCCAAACCATTGTAGGTTCAAGACCAGATGCACTATATAGGTAGTCAGTCACCACTTTTCTTGCCCATGTCAATTACCACGTGATCACTGTATGTGCAATCAATGCAAAACAGTCTCTAGTGACAGGCTGTATAGGTTTGAAAGAAAATGACTCTGCACATCAGTAGTAGTTTGAAAGCAATTTGCTTAGCAATTTCTACAGCTTACAAGAAATAAGGATTGAAACTAAAAATGTTTATTACCTGTAACATGTAAGGTCATTTTTATAATTAAACACAGGCAAATTACAAAACCAATGTTTTATTTTAGTAAAATATTTTACCGTGATAACAAAGCAAACAATATTTACATATATTACAACAGTTGACAACGATAAAGTCTTATATAAAATCTTATACAAATCTTAAACACTATATAATCTCATAAGTCTTAGCAGCTAAATTAATAAACACTCTGATCACAAATACAACCGTATCACACCTCGCAAATCGGACTAGATTGATTAAGTTTGTAATAAAGATGGTCTGGGGACCAATCACAACAATACCTTAACCCATTGAACTCCAAGGATTTTAGTTTCATAAATTATGCCTATCGTTACAATGATTTTCCGCATCCCATGAACACAAATATTTAAAATTATGTTTTTGTTGGACGCACACTCAGTAAGAGTTCTAGTTGTTAAAAATGTTTAATTTGAGGATCAACTTACAAAGAATAATCTTAACAACATCTACCAGATTCAGCGGTGGTTCAAAAGGGGTGGGGGGGCTACAGGGGCTAAAGCAAGTAAAGTAGTTGTTAAATAATAAAAAAAACATAGATCTCATCTGGAAAACGTAAGGGAGGTTTTAAAGTACAGTTCTAGTCGTTAAAAAAGCTTTAGAAAGTTAATTAACAGTTTTAAAAATACCAAATATTCTAGAGGGAGGACATGATCCCCCTCCTTTCTTGGGAACCCCTAAATCACCTGGTAGCCAAGGTGCCATCCCCCCCTTGACAATGTCCTAGAATCACCACTGACCAGATCCTTCCACTGTTTTCAAATTTCATATCAATAGGTTTTGACTAAAGCCCCAACATAGCCTTAACGTTGGCCTTTTAACATTACAGTTTTTTAGCAATTATCTGACTGTATTCAGTCAATGATTAAGGCATAGATATCCAGTTAATTCGTAAAAACTTAATGCATTTGTTAAAATAAAGATACCGTAGTTTATGAAAGAATAGTGAACAACTGTTCTAATTGTGTTAACATATTTAGAGAATAGGTCAATTAAAATAATCGTTTGAATAGTTAAAATTTAACTTTTTGTTGAGAATTAGTAATCTAATTAATTTCAAATTTATAATAAATTGTTATGGGTTGTGAATCAAGCACAAAACTATTCCAAACGAAATTTAACTTTTGTATAAATAAGAGTGTGCCATTATTATAAATTTTATAAGATTACGTTACAAAAAATTCCTCTTATTCAACGCCAATAATCAGTCAATATTTAGTGCCATTTTAACTCACTCTAAGGTTATAATTTAAGTGACACTTAAGTTAATAAAATTAAATTAAGAACAAACCATTTCTTATATCAAAAATTAGTCTTCCTTACCCGAGAATCATAATTTAAAAACTTTGTAAATAACAACAAAACTTTTGAACAATACTCTATCCTATCCTGCATGAAGTCTTATCACATTATCTAGCCAGCGAAGTTTCCGTAACAGGCTCAGAAATAACATCTCCAGGCAGATGATGTTTCCAGCTCCTGAACAAGTAACGTGTGAATTTCCGTAACTGTCTGAACTTGCAGTACGTGGCTCCTTGAGCAGACTCCAGCTGCTGAGTCTGTATTAAGAATCCTTTTTCTCTAAAAGTCTTTTCGAGCTTTTCCCTGGCGAGGGATTTCCTGCTTTTTCTTCTTTGTGGTTCACCTCCCCCGTAGTAGCGGAAGTTACCACTAGGATCCATAGACAGCATTTTCTTCTCTTCCAAAGAAGGTGTAGCACCACCTGTAAACTTGAACTTGCACATTGACACTTCACTAGCTGATTTAGCTTTCAAGTCACGGACACACAGGTTCAAAGGTTCGTCCACAACGGTTGTTCCGTAGTTTTTGTAGATTAGGTGACAGATGTCGGCTTTCTTGGGTTTACGGCCTCGGCGTGGTCTTGCGTTGTCCAATGTCATCTCCCCCATGTACGGCAGGTCGTTGTACCTCACTGTGGCTGGCGGGGCTGTGGCTGGCGAAGTCACTGCGGGGCTGGACACAGCTGTGGCGGCCGCTGCGTTGAGAGAGGCTGTGTAATGGTCCAAGTACTCCGCCGGCAACGCTTGGTGGTGGAACTTCAGCTTCCATCGTGACTTTCTTCTGCCCCTAGACATACCAAGTACAGTAAATTTCACTACACTAATGATAAATTCTTCATTAAACTGAATAAATCAAAGCTAATTTATAAGTTAAAATCCATGTTTTAGCCCTTGAGCTGTATAATAACTAAAAATGGACTTTACCTTCGTCACTACAGCTCAAATACTGGTGTAACTACGTTGGATATGGTAAAATGTTTCAAATGCTATTCGTATAGTTTGGGTAAGTTATGTGTTTTAACTTCAACGACGCTACTTCAGCCGAGATTTCGTAGTCTGACGATGGCATTGTAATGCCGAAACGGCCGTATACAACGTAGTTACACCATTATTTGAGCTGCATTGAGGAAGGTAAAGCCTATTTTTAATTTATAAGTTTTTTCTCAAAGATTTTTTTTTATTTGTAATTTTTTTACAAGATTGTATATAGGTCACAGATTATATTTTAAAAACGTCTACACCAGGAAAAGATTAGTGAAGGATTGGGTTAAATGAATTATAGACATACCACGAACAAAACAACCTGCGCAGAAACGAAAAGACCACGTGGTTCGCGCCGGTAGGTGTGGCTTACCCTTCAAACCTGCGCGGCTCGAAACAGCCCAGGGTTCTTTTGTTTCTGGTATTACTATAGATTATAGATTTGTCTCTGACCATGATCTGATGGGACATCATTATTAAAAGCCAATGATTAAGATCAGTTGGCCCCAGTTTTGAATTATCAAAAAAGTACTAAATTTTCTTTGGATTGAACCGGCA